GAAAAATTTTGACCTTGAGACCCAACTGACGCTCAATATAAGGAAACCAGGACTGGATAACACCGGGAACTTCATCTTTAGATCCAAGAAGAGAGATCCAAGCAAATTTTGTATGATGGTCAATGAGTGACATTACATATCTTTTCCCAGTACGACTTGGTGTACGGGAAGGACCCATCAGGTCACTATGAATGAGCTCAAGCGGTTGAGAGACTTCAGACTCAGAAGAATAGAAAGGATGACGAGGAAGCTTAGCCTCAACACAAGTATGGCACGATGACTGAGATGATGACAACTGCTTGGAGATGATAAGACCATCAACACTTGCATGTGCTTGCATGCGTGTGATGCTAGACTCTTCAGGGTGACCGTAACGACAATGCCAGGTGTAAGGAGATGCAGATGTACCAGGATGAAGTCTTACTGAGGTGGTGGTAGCAGCAACTGAGGGACTGCTGTAGGGCTTGGCAGGTGGCTGTGCATCAATCTCCACTCGATAGAGACGTCCATTACGAACACCTCTTGCAATGTGATGTCCAGTTGGAGCACGAACCTGCACAGAACCATCTGAGAAAGAGATGAAAATACCTTTCTCTTCCATTTGACCAATTGAGAGAAGGTTCGCCCCTAGTGAGGGGACAAGTAAAATGCCTGAGAATGACATATGAATTCCCTCTGGACTGAGAAATGTCATTGTTCCCTCTGCTTGAACTGGCACCGAATGGTTGCTGGCAACAACCACTTCTTTCACATTGGAGGGCTTGAGGCTGTGAAGGAGGGAGGCATGAGGGGTCATATGTTGATCACATCCACTGTCCAAAAACCAAATCTTGGGATCCTGTGTAAATGCATGGAGACAAGAGGATGATGCAAATGCGGAACTCGGTGCATTCGATTGAGTAGAGTCTCTCTCATATGAAACGACTCCTATGGTGGCTTGAAGAGGCGCCTCTGGTGTGTGAGGTTGTGGCATAGAGGAAGCAGAGACATGGTTTTGAGATGAGACTTGGGAAGCATTCTGAAAGAATGCCCCATGATGCGCACTGTCTGGTTGATTTTCTGGAGGGGTATGGGATGTAATAGCAATGGCGGCCCTTCCTTTGTCAGAAAGCAGAGATGAAGGTGGTGTCCAGTTCGCAGGACGTATGTTGCACTTGAACCAAGGATGTCCCCATTTATGACAATAATGACACTCAAATTGATACCTTGACTTTGGCTTATAAGGAATATGATTAGAGTATGATGCAAGCTGAGAAATATGACTTGGTGTGGGTTGTCCAAGAAGAGAGTGTGTTGGGGTTTGAGAGGACTTACCTTGCTGAAACTTGCTCTGTTGTTGAACACTTTGTTGAGGGCGATAGTTGGAACTTGTCATTCTACTCCATGCTGGTCCAGGATTTCTCTGAAGCTTTGCAAGTTCTCTTGTCTGATGTTCGGTGATGAGCGTGTTGAAGATGAAATCTCGGGTCCTTGTCTCCTCAGGAAAGGCTTGAATGGTGCTTCTCATAGTGCTCCATCCAGATGAAAGTCCGGCTAGAAGAATGGTGATGAAGAGAGATTCCGGGACCTCAATGTCGAGAAGTGTAGCTTCGTAAAGGACCATTTCACCACGTTGTAAGTAGTCGGGGATGGACTCACTCTCCCCCATGCGGAGAGAGACAATCTTGTTCCACACTTCTGCCTTAGAACCTTGGGAAATAGGTTGATGAAGACGTTTGAGCCGCTCCCAAGCAGCTCTGGCACTGTCCTTTTGAGTTGATACGAGGAGGAGGGGTTGAGAGTAGGGGTCTTGAATGGAAGAGAGGAGATAGAGATAAGCTTCAGCATTTTTCTTGATCCAGTTGCTCTGTTCTTGATCAGGTGCAGCAGTTGAAGGGGGAGTGTTTTGGCCGATGTAGATAGGCCAAAGATCAAGAAGAGTGGCGGCTTGTTGAAAGCGGATGCTCCATGATGAAAAACCTTTGCCGTTGAAGCGTGGAAGCTCCAATTTGGGGACTAAGGAGGAGGTAAATGTAGATGTAGTAGGTGGTGTAGATGGAGATGATGTGTTGGTTGTAGGAGGTGCTGATTCGTTTGAAGAGTTTGTGGTTACAGCTGGTGAAGTTGATCCCATAGGAACACTTGAGTCCTTTTCATCCATGTTGGTAAATTAAAACTCCTGATACAATCAAACAATTTCACACAAGGGGAAGGGGAAATAGACAAACACACACACACAGACACACATATACACAAACACACAAAAACAAAAAAGGGGAAACACAAAAAGGAGGACCCAAAAGGGGGCGCAAGACCAAGTGCAAGGATGCCACTAATGGCAAATAACGGGCTTAAAAAAAAAACTAGACAAGATGCGCACGGAAGAAACAGCAAAAAGGAATGAACTCGGGCTCAGATACCATTTTGAAATTGAAGTTATAGATGAGGGAGGGTAAATGGTAAGGAGAAAGAAAGAAAACACCTAGAAAGAAAAGGTAAGATCAAAGTAAAACCAGGTTGAAAAGCAAAAACAAGTTGAAAGGAAATCTTGAAGTATGGAGTAATTAAGAATGAAGAAAGGTTTGAAGGAGAAGATAGATAGACTTGATAGGGATAAAAGGGACCAAACAAGATTGGCTTAAAAGAAAGTATTGAAGAAAAGGTAAAGGGCTTGAAAGATACTTGAAAGGAACTTGTAACGAACTTGAGAATAAGAACTTGATTACTATGGAAAGAGCTTGAATATAAAACAACTTGATAATAGCAAATGAACTTTGATGTAAAAGAAACTTGGTGAAAAATGAGAGGAAGGGATAACCACTTACTTGAAAAGAGTTCTTACTATTATGTTGTAGAAGTTGATCTTCACTTCAAGCTTAAATGTTGTCTTAGTTGTTAATGAAGAACCTCAAAGCTTGAATGTTGAGAAGTTGATCTTGAATGTTGACTTGTAGATAATGTTTGTTGAATGAAGAGAAACCTCCAAGCTTGGATGTTGAGGTTGGAGCTTGGACCTTGGGTAGAAGAATACACCAATCTTGCTTGAAGCTTTAAAGTACATTAATCAAAGGGAGGTACATGGTAGGATCTTGAGATCAACTATCCTTGATGATCTAGAAGTAAAACTATGTGGCACAAACTTCTCTAGAATTGGAGCATATGGCTATGAGCTTGGGTTGGGAGAGGTTGGTGGTGATGATGAAGCCTTAGGAGTTGGAGCATAAGGAGGAGGACTTGAGGTTGGCCTTGAGGGAGTTTGAAGAACTTGTTGAGAGTTTGGGTATGAAGTAGCATTGAAGAATATTTTTTTGAAAAAAAGAAGAGGACCCTTTTGTATTTGGTGGAGCTTGATGTTGGATGAAGGATGAGGAAAGGATGAATGGTTGTGATTGGTTGAGTTGGATAAGATGGGGGTGATGAATGTGGCCTTGAAGTGAAGGCTTGGTGAAGAGAATGAATGTGGCCTTGAAGTTAAGGCTTGGTGAATGGGATGTATTTGGCTTTGATTTTAAGGCTTGGTGAGTGGAATGAATGTGGCTTGGATTGGAAGGCTTGGTATGGAATCTTTTGTTTGATTGGTGGATAATGGGATGAGAAAGATGATGAGGATAGGAGGAGAGTTGAGGTGGAGGATTGATAGGTTTTGATTGGTAGGTTTTTGCTGTCTGGAGATAGGAAGGGTGTGGTGGCGAGTGGGCATTTTTGCAAGATGCCTTTTGCATATTCGGATTTTGGCTGACGGGGAAATTGCGGCGAAAAATTTCGCCACGTGAAATATTTCCCGCCACCCTGGTGCCACGCGAGCAGCAGCCACAGTTCACTGCAACAACATCTGCCTGGTCCGATGCGGCGATGCAAGAAATCTGGTGACCAACAAAATTTTCCTCGATGAAAACAACCTGGGGTTGGGGGTGGGGATTACATCGATCCGCTATAGGAGCGTTTGTTGAGTGATTCGTTGGCGAAATAATGTATTATAACCACGTATGAATTTCTGTTGTCAGACCGTAACGGATTTTCGCCCTTTGAGTCTCTGCATTTCAATTTTCAACCCTCAACAGGAAAGCGAGAGCAAGGTGCAGACAGGAGCGACGTCTCACCCAGCCAGACGAGGGTCAGCAGCAGCAATGTCGCTCCTGCCTGCGCCTTGGTTTTTGGCTTCCTCCGTGAACCACGCACCAATAATTTTCTTCCCATTCACGATATTTTTTTCAACGCGAAGCCAGAACATGTTCACTGGAGCGTCGTTATCAGAGGAACAGTGCGCCTCGCCACGTGGCATGAGGATCGGAGAAAGGGTTTGTTGGTTTATGCTAGCCATGAAGGTTCCTTTAGCGCAGCGAGTGGCTGTAACAGTATCGCTGTTTCCCGCTGCGGTTAGGCAGGCACACAAGCCGAAGCGCCGAAGCGACGGATTATCTGAACGCTTATAAGCCAGATGCATTGGCCGTGGCAAAGACAAACTACCAACTCTTTCCGCCTCATACATTACCTGCACGACTCACTTCGCCTGACGTACCGCCTCGGCACCTCTCAAACACCGGAACCCTACCGCCATGTCTATAATCGCAACAATCTTTCGCGTCGTCGTGTCTCTGTCATTCGTCGCCGTTTGCCTCGCTGTTAACGTCACGAGCAACGGATGGTACATTCCCACCCCGGGAACGTCCTTCTACTGGCAGATCTCTGACACGAACCTCGAAGCATCATCGCATAATGAAAAGATATTTGATATCGACGGGTTCAGCGTGTCGGCGAGCACTGTATCGAGGTTGAAAACGATGGGGAAGAAGGTGTTTTGCTACTTTAGCTTCGGGACTGCTGAGGATTATCGCAGCGACTACAACCAATTCCCGAGATCCACTCTCGGTGGAATGGTTTGCCAGGTGAGTTGGAATGCAAATAGCTTACACGCGTTATCAGTGAAGTTTTTTAAAGAAGACTCGTTCAGTCGTCAACGACATTACGAGCTTCGCTTCTTGACACCAGCCCTTCATCGTTTACCTTACCTTCATTGGCAGAACGAGGACTGCTCGGAAGCCTGGCAGGGCGAGCGATGGCTGGACGTGAAATCGACTGCTGTGCGTCAAATACTGGAAAAGCGGATTCAGGTACGAAGAGTTTCAAGCAGGTCTCACATTCTTTGAGCAGAAGAATGTGAGAGACCATCTTTTGCGTCAGCCTTTCATGGTCTCCTAAGTCCTGACTTGCCCCATCGACTGCCTGTGGTCGCTTGTCCCATCCCATTGACAGCTGGCGAAGCGCAAGGGGTGCGATGGCATAGAGCCGGACAATGTGGATGCATACAATGGAAACATCATGGTGAACGCCATCAGCCATTTCACCATCACGAAAAAGGACCAGTTCAACTTCAACTCGTGGATTGCAAATACAGTGCACAAGTGAGTTCACCTGTTGCTTCTTTCAATTTTCAAACCCAGGTGCACAATTCCTCACCGTTACTTTTACGATGTGGATGGCATGGCAGATTAACACCACAATCCAGGCCCAGTTTCTGAGTTTTTCCCTAATGCTTAGGTTCTGGGTCAAACTAAGGCTTAAAATTCTTAAAGCCGAAACCCTGACCCACCTCTCCTTTCCTTTCAGCACCACATAGTTGGTCTGATGAACAATGGCCCTTCCTCTCCCTCCCACCTTCCTCAGATCGTAAAGAGCTCCTAGTCGCTCATTTGCTTCATCCATCTCCCCTCCTTTTTCTCAAGCGCCTCCATTCCAACCCCCTATGCTTGTCTGATACAGCATGTCAGTGGGCCTGACAAATCCCAGTCCCCAGAAACCACCCCCCCATCCTTAGAACCCCCACTCCTCCCCCCTTTTTCCCCTTCAACCCCGTCCCAAATTCCCACACCTTCCTTCTCCCTGCCTCAGGTAAGGTATGTCATTGAGTTTAAGAAAACCCAGCGCTCCAACTTATCAAACTGTTCTCCTCCCCTTCCCCCCCCCTCCTCATCAGGTACGGCATGTCAGTGGGTCTCAAGAACCCTGGCCCCCTAGCTCCCTCCCACATGGCCGGCCTGTTTGACTGGGCGCTTGTTGAAGAGTGCAACCAGTACACGGATTGGAGCGGTGGAGAGTGGTACAGCGGCAAGTATGGCTGCGACTATGCCAACGAGTTTATTCTTCGCAACAAGGCGGTGTTTGTGGCAGAGTATGTGGAGAGCTGGGGCAATTCAGCAGGAGTGCAAAACGGCATTAAATTCCCACAGGTGATTTTTTTATTTTTTTTTGGGGGGGGGGGGGGGGAGGGAAGGGGATTAGTGGAAGGGTGTACATGCATTGGTGTGGCGGAGAGTGCGAGGAATGCTGAAGGAGGCTGCGTCAATTTTAATGAGTTATAAATTCTTCGCAACAAGGCACTGTCTGTGGCTGAGTATGTGGAGAGCTGGGGCACTTCCGTGGGGGTGAAGAATGACATTCAACTCCCACAGGTGTGTTGGGATCGTTCATGGAATGAAGGAAGAGTGCAATCAGCACTCTGATTGGAGGGGTGAGTGGTATGGCGCTGCTGTGTTTTGACAGTGCTTGTGGCTCAGTACGGGGATAGCTGGAGCACTTGAGGGGGCTTTTGAGTCGACTCAATAGTCACCTTGTGGCTTAGTACGGGGATTGCTGAAGCACTGCAGGGGGGCCTTCGGAAGTGGGGGAAGAGTGGAAGTGGAACTATTACATGGTGGGGAGTGGCAGGTACCAGAGAAGCATGTGTGGCTGCGGGTGCACCCATCAGTTTGTTGACCAAATGATGTTCTTTGCATAGTGTGTGGAGCTACAGGCACCTTCCGCTCGGATTAAATGCGGGTATGGTTGTCACAGGCTGGTTGTGTTGCATGAGAGTAGCTTAAATCCCATTGCTTTTCGTGTTGCTGCATTATAACCCAGGACCATCCACACACCAATACTGGCTGTCAATCAAATGCAGTCACGCATTATCCTAATCACCACCCCATCTCTTACCCTTGACAGTTTCTTGATCCTGACCTGACCTCACGCAGGCAATGTGTGCGGACAACAACGCGCATGGCTTCACAACCCGCCTATACAACCTGGACTTGGGAAAAGGGCCGAGTTACTCATTTGCCAACTGCTTGCAGCACAAGCCTGGAGGATGCAATGTGTGGAGGGAGTGTATCAAGCCTGAGGTGTATAACCAGTACAAGCAGCAGGGCATGAAGAGATGGGATGCTGTAGGCCAGTGTGTCAGGGCCAGGAGAGCTGCGTGTAGGTACATTTAGTGTCGTATACTGTACACAAAGTACCTACTTTGCAAATGCGGTAGAAGCATTTGCATTGGGACGAGTCTTGGTTGCTGGGGTACTGTCAAGGGTTGTGGGCAGAGGATCGCATCCAGGTAGGGATTTAGGGCGCGTGTCTTTGTAATCGAGGTTTTCACGTTTGAACCTAAGTTAACCTGTACTCGAATATCTCAACTTTTGAGCCCGAATCGCGAATTGCCAACTTGCAAAAAGCACAAGGAACACCAAAGTTCGAGTATCGAGGTTCAACGTTCGTAGGTTACCCGGTTCTCACGCCTTGACGTTGGCGACACCGGGCATCATCCATTTGGCGTAGGTTGTGCGCACGATGTTATTTGCGACTGTCGCATGCTTCGCATTTTCAGGATGCATGCCTATCAGGAAACACGCTTGACCTAACGTGCACCCAGCAAATTCGTACATGAGTTCGACCCAGGTTTAGTGTCCCACTTCATCACCATTGCTAGAGATAGGACACACGATTCTCGTGAAGATCCCTGAACGAGATCAACGAAGCGGGTTACCGGTAACCTAATTTTAATGCCTAGGGTTGAAAACCCTGAATCCCAGGAAAAGTTCGACCTAATTTTTAAACCTCTACACCAAAAGACACGCGCCCTTAGCTTTTCATGCCCTGCCCTAACTGCCCTGACCCTAAGGAGACAAACTAGGAGATATTTATGTCACTATATATATGTGTATGGAAGGCTATAGTGAGGTAGACAGTAGGGAGTACAACCCATTCTAGGGTTGGTATTTGTATCACAACACTTGCTGTCATTTCACTCTGGTGTTCATATTTTGAGATGGTATCATTGAGTTACTGGTAGGACCCTAGGACCCTAGCTTTGCCCATCCCGTCCCGTTCCGCTACCCGTCACGTCCCCTTCCCGTCCCGCTACCGTCCCGTCCCTTGACGCCCCGCTACCTGTCCCGACCCGCACGCAGCTGCTCGCGCGCAGCCGCGCACGCCTACGCGCAGCCACGCACACACACTGCTGCACGCGCAGCTGCACGCGCATCCGCACACATACGGCTGCCCGCGCAGCAGCAGCCGCACGCACACGCGCAGCTCCACGCGCACTATCTGTCAGAGGTCCACTGGTGATCCCCGATTGATCCTAGGGAAGGGTTACAGGCTCGTTGTCCTGGGGGGTTATGGGCGCACTCACCCACTACACAAACAAGCCCTTTTATCCCAATGGTCTAGTGGTTGGGATTCTGACACTATCAGCCGCAACAGCAGTCGCATGCGCAAATGCAGCCGCACGCGCAGCTTCAGCAGCATGCTCAACAACAGCCGCACGTGCAAAATTTGCCGCAAGCACAGTAGTAGCCGCACGCGCCGCAGCCTCCGCACGCGCAGCCTCTGCTGCACGCATAGCAGCAACCACCCGTGCAACACCTACAATGCCTGCAGCTGCAGCTGCCCGCGACTGTCCCCTTACACGCACCTACCGCAGCCTCCCCTACCGGCCCGTGCTCTTGGTGACTCTTTCTGCAGCGACTGGAGGCCGCATCCTATCTTAGTTACTGAACACTTCTTAGGGTATAGTGCTTCCTCCAAAGTGTAGTTTTAGGGCTTGCACGCCACTCCCAGTCTAGACACTCTGGCTTTGTTTGCTACTCACTCCGACGTGATTCCAGTCTAGGTGCTTCTATAGTTACCAGCCCAGGTGTACCTGCAACTGGCGCGTCGCTCTCCTTCACGCTCGACTCTGGCGCGTCTCAGTGCTTTGTCCATGACCACACGATTGTCACACCTCTCCTTGCTCCGGTTCCGATTGCACTGGCTGATCCTACTTCAGGACCAGCGGTTGCCCACAGCTCTACCACCCTCCCGTGCCTTGCTGCCCCCTCTGGTGTCGTCAATGGTGTTCACATCCCCTCGTTCTCCAGGAACTTGGTGGGTGTGGGACCCCTTCAGGACCTCGGTGCTAGCACCTGGTTTCCTCCGCACGAGCGTATAGCGACCTGCATGGACGGTGCCACTGGGGTTAGTCTGGCCACGTTTCACCACGAGCCCCGCTCAGGTATCTTCACACTGCACACAACGTCTCCCCAGGTAACTGCGTCTGGTCAGGTAGCTGCGTCTGGTCAGGTTGCTACGTCGTGCTCCTGTCGGTCGCTCACCCACCCGACCGTCCTGTGGCACCAACGCTTTGGCCACCCGCCCGTCTCACGCCTCTGTCACATGTCTAGCCAGCGTCTTGTCTCAGGTCTCCCGCTCGCGTTTGCGTTGCTCCCACCTTCGCCTGCCCTGTCGTGCACTCCTTGCATCGAGGGTAGACTGTGCGCCACTCCTCACTCCTCCTCCCTTCGCCCGGCCACTGCGCCCTTCCGGACTCTCCACTTAAACGTCTGGGGCCACGCTCCTTGCCCTGGGCCCAAGAGGGAGAGATTTTTCCTGGTGTTCGTTATCGACTTCTCTCGCTACACCACGGTGTTTACCCCGCAGAAGAAGTCCAGCGTGACTTCTACCCTGGTCACTTGTTTGCTTGCCACTAGTGCTACGCATGGTAGTCGTGCCTTTTGTCTCCACTCTGACCGTGGGGGTGAGTTTTTCTCCGGCGTGCTTGTCGGGTTCTGTGAAAGTAAGTTACGAGGATGATTGACTAGGAAGCAAGGGAGGGTACAAGTAGAATGTCGAGAGAATTCTGTACCCCCTAAGGCTAAACCCACTATAGCCTAGACAAATGTAAACACATGAACTAAGCCTAGATATAACTAAGCATATATGTTTGACACACCCCCATAGGCGAAGTGGGGGATACCCAGAACAAGTAATGGTCACAAGACCAGTCAAGAAAAGAAAAGCAAGCTCAGGGTGGATCACAAAGTCACCACATAGTCCGAGCACAAGCAAAGGGCCACAAGGCCAGTTCACATGCAGAGTTATATACAGAGAACAAACAATACAGTGATCATACCCTAACAAGTGCAAGCATGCAGGTATATAGATAGATCACAGTACAGGCAGAGTCAGGCAGTAAGTAAGTGAGGCAAAGTAGGCACAAGGCCTAACACAGTAACAAAGCGCTGATGGTCACCAGGCGGAAGTGCCTTGGTGAAGACATCAGCAGTGTTGGCCCGAGTGGCCACGTACGCTAGACGAAGCTGACCACGCTGCTGCAACTCTCGAGCAAGGAAGTATCGCAGAGCGATGTGCTTCGTTCTGTGCTCTAGTCTGTGCTCCTGACACAAGGCTATCATGGCCTTGTTGTCTACGTACAGGACTGGAGGCGAACGAGGCTGCTCTTCCAAGTCGGTCAGCAAGTAGGTGAGCCAGCGTAGCTCCTGAGCAGCCATAGCTCCGGCGTAGATCTCAGCCTCACAGCTGGAGCTGAGAACTGAAGACGAGCGGGTAGACCGCCAAGAAACCGAGCCGGACCCAAGGCTGAAGGTGTAACCCTGCGACGACCGCTGCGTAGCTGAGTCGTCAACCCAGGAGGCGTCTGCGTGACCAGTGAGGACAACAGGACCCCGTCCTCCAAGCACAAGCCCCATGCCCGACGTACTACACAGGTAACGCAGTACCCTCTTCGCAGCATCCCAGTGCACCTTTCGGTGCCTACCGGGAGCCACGTAGCGAGCCAGAAGGCTGAGAGGGTACGCGAGGTCAGGTCGGACCCAAGGCTGAAGGTGTAACCCTGCGACGACCGCTGCGTAGCTGAGTCGTCAACCCAGGAGGCGTCTGCGTGACCAGTGAGGACAACAGGACCCCGTCCTCCAAGCACAAGCCCCATGCCCGACGTACTATACAGGTAACGCAGTACCCTCTTCGCAGCATCCCAGTGCACCTTTCGGTGCCTACCGGGAGCCGCGTAGCGAGCCAGAAGGCTGAGAGGGTACGCGAGGTCAGGTCGTGTGCAAGTCATCAGGTACATGAGGCAACCCACAAGCTCTGGGTACGGACCACTCGGCTCTACGGCCTCGTCCGAAGGTGGAGCTGAGAG